TAAATTATCGACAAAAAACTTATTAGTGAATCGCAAACAAACGTGGCAGTGCACTAGATGTCACAAATGTAATTTCAAAATTAAATATCAAGGAAAAGGTAGGTATTTATATAAACGATTTTAAAATAAATACCATTTACAAAATATTCTTTTTAAAAATCACATATTGATATCCCTAAAGTGTGACTTTTGGCCGAATTTACTTTACGGCCACTTTTTATAAACTCATACTTATCGTTAGTAATACTGTACAAATTTTATTAGTTAACAATGGATTTATTCGATCAATTGCAATTTGAAACAATTCTTGCATTGAAGCCTCTTTTCGAAAACAAGAATGTCTAAAAAATGTGTGCACCTCGGCGTATGGTCTTTTTTGACCTAACCAGAAGTTGCTTGGCCTCGACTACCTCTCGGCCGCATATTTATGATTCAGCCAAAAAAATATCAACTTTACGATATTAGTACACTAATAACTATTTTAATCACATAAATTAGTGTCCTAGTATTATTTAAATTATTCGATATAACTTATAAAAAAAAAATTATATTAGTTTGGCTCACCTAAGAAGACTTTTTAAATTTTAAGGTATCGTCCTTAAATGGTTCATTAAACAAAAAAACAAAAATTTTCTATTGGCAATGGGTTTCAGGTCTATATATTTTATACGATATTAAAAAATAAAATTTGTAATTTTAAAATTTTCGGGAATTTAATATACTGGCCGCTGACAATATAGCTCTTGAGGCCAAAAAAGACTTACTAATTGCTCAAGTGGGAGAAAGCTATTTTAAAAAACAAAAGAGAGATCAAATGGCGTATCCTTGTAGCCAAGGGCGTACCTAGCTATGGCAGGTCTGCTGTCCCCCCCACCCCTCTAGACCTTTGAATTTTATAATAGAACATAAAAATCATACATGAAAAGTGTGAAAAATATAAAAAAAAATAAACCACTACTGTAGATATTACAAATTTACAGACTACACCAAAAAAAAATCGAAAAAATATGTAAATAACGCGATCACGCGGTCTATCCAGAATGACCAGAATTCCTTATTGCGGCCCTGTCTAGACACGCACCTACCGTTTCTAGTTTGGACAAAACATTGCAATCACACGTGTTTAGGCACTACCAGCAGTACCAGCGTATAATAGGCAGTAAAAGAGATATTCTATATTGTAGCAAGTGATAGTGCACAGTTATCAAAATATCTATTCCGTGCGATCTTAACAATATTAAATGGATATCAGGAAATTTTTTTAAACAGGTAAGTTACATTCCTCATTGTGAATTATTTTTCTATGCTTTTGTTGTGTAGGAGTAAGATTAGTAGACACGTGTAAGCTGTTATAAGCATGGTGTTGAAATAATCATTATCTTGGCGAAAATAAAAATAAAGCATTTTTATCGGTTTTTGCATTTTTTCTAGTTTTAGCTCAAGAGACTACTATAAACAAATACAAATAGTATATTAGATTGCAAGATCACAATTCACCAGAGAGTGATAAACTGATGTTTGTAAGTTTGTAGTTTTCTATATGTGTAAATTTTAGAACATTCGTACACGATCCTACAAAAAAATTTTCCGACTATTACGGGTAGATATATTAAAACTAGTTTGTTGGGTAGATCAAACTTCGTTTACTGTGTGACCTAGGCCACGAAAATTAATGTAATTATTAAGTATCTCGATTTTATTTGTAGATACAGGATGGGGTCAATTTTTTATATTTTCCCACCACTCTTATTTTTTGCCACCGTTTAGAAAAAAAACTTCGAAGTTAAGTTGTAGTGCTTAGTTAATTAGTACTTGAACAACACACATTTGTTTATACAGGGTATTGCAGAAAATGTGAGAAACAAAAAATATATATTTTGTAAATTGGCCTGTAAAACGTTTATTTGTGTAGTACTTAACACCGAAAATATAAGTTTAGCTTTATGAAATCACACTGTATAAAAATACAAATAAAAATTCTTTTGATGTTTTCCAGGGACTACAACTTTTAAGAGAAAAAAAAACGTGGCAGTAGCAGCGAGAGCAATGAAAACAATGATGAAATTATATCGCCAAGTTCATCTAAAATAAGGCCTGAACAGCCGTCAGCATCTTTAGTATCTACAGACATATATGAAGGGCCAGGGGAAAAAACCAGGTAAGTCATTTTTTTTTAATATCGAGTGAACAGTTGTATTGGGCACAAAATAAGCGTATGTATCTTTCGAAAGTCCGGAACTGGGAAAGAAACACTCTAGTCAGAAGATATACGGCGCCAAAGTTTGGCTATAAGGGAACAAAAGCAGGTAAGTCACTTGAGACGGGAAAAGAAGCAGGCTAGTCAACAAATTCACAACTCTGATTTCGCTCGTTCTGCCAACGCATCAGTGCATTGCTAGATTTTGTAAGGGTCGCATCGTATTGTTTACGTTTAAGAATTGTGGATTAACTTGAGTGTCTCGTATCAAGCTTTGTTTGGGAATAATTATATCACGATGTCAAGCTCGGACGAAGGTATTAAGCTACATAGTGAGCCAAAAAAAAAGGAAGAAAACAGGTCGAATCTCTGAGGTAAATAAAAAATTAAAACTTTCCACGCATGAAGCTGGTGACCCTTGCCATTGCAAACGATTTAAATGTTACAATATAACTACTGAAAATAATAGAAAAAGCATATTAGGCTACTTTAACCAGCTACAGTCTCACAACGAGCAAAACATGTTCTTGACAGGATTAATCACCGTTATGCCTGTGGCACAGAGAATAAGTGGCAAAGTTACGGGAAGCTAGTTTTGCCTACAGAGTTCGAGTCACTAAAGACAACGGAGACGTGGTAGATATTAGTGTATGTGCAAAAGCATTTTGCTCATTTCATGGCATTAGTAAAAATAAACTTTACTATCTACAGCAAAGTTTAAAATCGACGGGCTCTGTACCTATGGATAAAAGGGGTAAGCATTCCAAGAAACACAGCTCAATGAGGCTACTGCTGCTTTAATTGCCAGTCATATCAAAAGTTTCAAAGGTCGCCAGAGTCATTACAGTCTTAAAGACTCAACCAAAACTTATTTGCCAAAAAGCCTTAACATAAAGACAATGTACAAACTATTCAAAGAACTACATCCTGCAGCAGTTGTGTCTTACGACACTTACAGGCAAATATTCAACACGCAGTTCAATATTTCTTTTGGATATCCGCGTACGGATACTTGTGCAGTGTGCGATGAATATACGGCAAAAATTAAAGCTTTATCTGTGGAAAGAGATGAACAACAGATTCATCAGCTAACAGCAATGAATATCCTTCATAAAAAAAGGGCAGAAACTTTTTACAACCTCAAAAAAAAATCCAAAATCGGAGCAAGAAAAAATAAGAAGAAAGAAGCCATATGCATAGATTTTGCAAAAAATATCTCCTTGCCGAATATAGCTACTAACGACGTATACTAAAAACGCCAGCTCGCTATGTATTCCTTTAATGTTCACGTTCTTTCAACTAGTGAATCCATTTTTTACGTGTATCACGAAGGTATTGCTAAAAAAGGGCCGAATGAAGTGGCCTCATTTCTATTCCATTTCATCATGAATTATTTGGACGATGAAGTACAGGAACTGGAAATTTTCTGCGATTCTGCAGGGGGGCAGAATAAAAACTACACGATATTTAAATTCATTCATTACATAACGAACAATAAAATTCATGGCTTTACGGATATCAAAATTACATTTCCTATTCGTGGGCACTCATATTTGGAGTGCGACAAAAACGCTGGTTTATGGAACTTAAAAACATTGATGGAAATACCTAAGGATTTCGAAGAAATTGTGAAATTATCACGGACGAAACCATCTTCTTTTACTGTTGTCAGCGTTTCCCATAAAATTATACTGGATTGGAAGAAAATGTTGCCATCAAAGTACATAGCTAAATGCCCTTTTAGAACGCAGCCTATTAAAATAATAAATTCTTCAACCAGTCATAGTCGCTTGCTAGAATATCGCACGACGTACAATGGACCTAGGCTGACTGGCATTATAAGGTCACCCCGGCAATGTCAGCAATCATTGGAAGATGGATTGTTTGAACTTCCCCCTCCAGCTTACAACGGTATGTACTAATAACAAAACCACCTTCACCGAATTAATACAGTGAGTTTTCTAACGAATGCCTTATTCTTTTCAGGTCTCCTGCCAATTTCCAGTGCAAAATTCAAAGATCTGCAAAGCCTAATGAAGTTTTGTGCCCCCACTACTGTGGAATTTTTTCGTCAATTACCTCATGATTAAGTAATTGTAAGTTAAAAAATATTATTTGTAATGTAAACATATTGTGGCGATCACCATATTAACATTTTGCTAGACTTCTCTTTACTTATTAAGTATGCGTGTTATTTTCAGGTTGGAAACGTTCATGGTTTTTGGGACACTGCAGCGATCTGGCAACACCCTGTGTGTTTTTCAGCTTTTTTTTACTTTACTAGAATACAATGGTTTAGTCATTTGTATCAATAAGTCTTGTATTAGTACTTATACGAATTCTGTATCGTTTTGGACATTAAAAATGTGTTTTCTCAGTTTCGACAACAATAGACTTACCTGCTTTTTTTCCCTGACCCTTCATATGTTCCCGGTCTTCAATCTTTGCCGTCAACTTCTGCCTCTGTAGACATTCCCGCAATTAACGAGAATAATGGCTGCCACGAAAATGACCTAGGTCGTTACGTAGGGCAAACATTTCACCTGACAATGAAAAAAAAAAGAAGTGTCTATTACAAAATCCGTGGGTTCCGAGCAAGGACTATGATTTTATAACCGATGTAAGTCATTTGCGAAGAAAATTTAACCATGCCTGGTTAGATCAATATACACCATGGCTAATTTATTCCAAGCGGCTAAAGGGTGCTCTCTGCAAGCACTGTGTTTTATTTCCCCCTTCCATTTGTACCGAAAGGGGAGTGTTAGGTCCATTTATGATCAGACCATTTACGAAGTTTAAGAATATGCACGAAGATTGCCGTAAATATGTCACCATTAACTTTCACAAAACTTCAGCAGCTGCTGCAAAAGCCTTTCTCGAAAATTTGCCTGTGGAAGTTCAACTGCAAAGTTTTCACCAAAAAACAATTGAAGAGAACAAGCAAATACTGGCGTCAATTATTTCTTGTATAGTATTCTGTGGCACCCATGATTTGGCTGTTAGAGGTAAAGAAGCAGATAAGGAAGTTTTTTTCGATCTGATGAATTTACGAATTGAATCTGGCGACATAAAATTAAAGAGTTATCTAGAGAAATGTCATAAAAATGCAGTTTATACCTCACCAAAGATACAGAACGACATATAGGGAAAGAAACAGATCTCAATTGCCTTGCGCTTCTATGATGAAAGTAAAGAAAAACTTCGACAAGAATTTGTGGGTTTTGTGGAGCTAACAGCACAAGATGCCTCAACGATTGCCAAAGCAATCGACAATTTTTTGTTCAGCTATAATTTTTTACCATAAAATTGTGTAGGACTTGGTTTTGATGGTTGCGCTACAGTAGTGGGCAAAGAGGGTGGCGTGTAAGCAATTTTAAGCAAAAAGTACACGCGAGCATTATTTTTCCATTGCTCAAGCCACAAGATAAATCTTTTTATTAATGACACAAATAATGTCGCGGAAATTAGAAACACTATTGCCACGGTGAAAAATATTATAACCTTTTTTAGGGAATCCACCACTCGGAGGAATTCTTCACCTAAACTTTCACGACTATGTGAGACCAGATGGTCTGAAAAATATAAAAGTATTCGATTATTTGCATAAAATTTCCCGGAGATTGTCAAAGCACTTGAAAAACCATCTACTGAAGAAAACTACACCACGAGAAAATCTGCATACCGGTTGCACTCAGCCATTACCAAATCCTCATTAATTGTTGCTGTAACTATAATAGCAAAATACTCAGCTTTACTAGAACCGGTAGTTAATGCTCTGCAAGCAAAAAGTATCGATTTGACCAAGTTGCAAGGACATAATAACGTAATCCTTAATGTACTAAACAAAAATCGTGAAGACGCTGACCTAGTTATTGCTGAAATTATTATAAAAGCACAAGACCTTGCCAGGGAATCGGACATTGAAATTTCCGACCTTCGATTTGCCAACAGGCAAATACACATAAGCAATTATCCATAAGACCCTGATAGTGACGTTAATTATACCATATTTAGATTTAATATTATCACCGTTAAATAGTCGATTTTCCCAAGAACATACCCCAGAGTTTGCCCTAAGAGAGCTACATCCTCTGTACATGCTCAATATGGATATCAGTCATGTAAAAGAAAACACAGTTTTATCAATTAGAAGACGACCGCAGAAAACGAACTATGATATAACTTGTGGAAAAATAAAAAGATAACTAAGGACAAGATAAAGGATAATAAAATCATAGACCTCAGCGATGCCAACATTTTTTATCCCATCAGAAGACAGGTACTCTTGATTTTAATCACAATTCCATGTCCTACGGCCACTGTAGACCGATCGTTTAGCACACTTCGAAAAAAAAAAAAACCTGGCTGAGAAGTACTATGGGAGAGGAAAGGTTGACGGGATTATATTTGATGAGTGTGCATCGAGATTTAATTAAAGAAAATCGGGAGCAATTCGAAAAAAACGTTTTAAACCATTTTGCTACAAATCCAAGAAGACTGTTATTGCAATAAAATGTTTGCTACTTATTGGTATAGAATGTGATTATTAATAACTAATAAAAAAAAAAGAAAAACTGTTCTGCTTTTTTAATTGGCCTGTCCTCCCCCCTAGTTCATATCCTGGGTATAGTTCAAAATAAAGATCTTCAATTAAAAGACATAATTAATCCAAGCAACTTCGATAATGTATTAAAAGCAGTCCATATAGAACGTGGGTATTATTCCTTAAAAAAACATTTAGGGCATCCAGTTTGGCCTCACAAATAGGCAAATCATTAAAAAGTCTTGTGATGAATTAAAACACTGCATATGGAAAGAGTCAGATGGATTCAAAATTAAATCGGAAACAGCCAAAAAAGGGCGACTAGAAAATATTAACATTTTTAAGAATTGAATTGAAGAACGCTGGAATGTGAAAGTAGCTTCTTTGGCAAATAAAGATTTAACTGAGAAACGTTCAAACAAATCCCTGTTGTTGCCCCTAGTAAGCGACATAAAAAAAAATCGTGATTGTGTGTTAAAAATAGCTAATAACTGTCAAGAATAACTTCAGAATGATAGAACAGATGTAGAGACTTATAAATTACTTGTTTACGCGTCTTTAACTCTACTAATTCTTTTTAATCGACGTTCGTATTGGAGATGTGCAATATTTAACTATTAAAAATTATAAAAAGAATAGCATAACCAATAACGTTCAAGATTTTGAAAATGACCTAACTGCAGCTGAAAAAGTTTTGACCACAAAATATAAAAGAGTAGTGAATAATGGAAAGGGCAGTAGAGCAGTTGTGATTTTAATTCCGATCATTTTGCAAAATTTTCTGAAAACACTAATCAAATGCAGAGAAAACTTTATTCCTAAGGATGAGTACGTTTTTGCTATCCCTGGTAATAGCATTAAGTGAAGAAAAAGAGATGTGTCGATTAGAAAGTTGACAAAGAAAATTGATTTGAAAAATCCCATTGCAATTTCCAGTAATAAATTAAGGAAGCAGATAGCGACTGTTATGCAAATACTTAATTTATCAGAAGAATATAAACAGTTTATGGGGCACACTCAAAAAACTCACAATGAATTTTATGAGTAAGTTAATGCTTGAACTGACAAAGTATTTTACGCACCATGCTAAATTATTGTAATTATCAATTTAAAACCTTTCAGATTGTCCATTGATATTTAAACCTCAAAGGTTTCTAAATTACTTCTTCTAATGGAAAAAGATGTAACTGTCAAATACAAGGGAAAATCACTGGCCGATATCCAAATAAATCCAGCTATTGAATATGCAGAAGAAGATGACAGAGGTAATTCTAGATTAATACTAATTATTCTACATGCATAAATTTATTATAATTCCCGCCCAGAAAAGTTAATTTTAATTACAAGAAATTATGTACCTAATGTTTTTAGATATTTTTGGGCAAAAAACGATATTTTGGTTAAAAATCATTTCGATTGTTAGCTTGATCGGGAAACTACAGTGCGATGACTTGATAATATTTTAAGGTATAAACTTGAAATTTGGAGGTTCGATTTAGTACTAAAAGTTCCGAAATATCATTATTTTTCAGTTAAATCGTCAAGTCAGTCATTTTCTAGATATTACCCACTACTTTTTAAAAATCGGCGGGAATGCTTTATATTGTTGATAGCAATTTTAATTTTTTCTTGAAGAAAAAGAAATATAAAATATTTTTGTGAACTATTTCAGATGAAGGGGTGGTTCATATTGAAGAAGAAATAGAACTGGGGGTAACTAAGTCCCATCAAGAAGCTGTTTTAAGTCCTACTCCTCCGAAACAGGCTAAAATAGATCTGAACAAAGGTGTACCCAACAATACCAATTCTGAAAAATCTTCTAAACCCAGAAAATTTAATTGCCTGACGAAAACGTAAATTCAATATAATTTTATTAGGTAAAAGTCAATTAAGTAAAATTTGGAAAATATCAATATAATTATTTGTTGAATTATATTGTACTTATTATACATGTTTCCATAATGTTAAACAGAAATAAAAACTATATATGTCAAAACGCAAATGGCCGCCGTCAGAATTGGCCCCATGCTTTTGGGATGTACAAAAATTCAAATTGTAGATCTTTTGACGTAGAATCGAATGCCGTGTGGTGTTTTTGGTGATCATTGATTCTTTGACAGTAATACTGTCAAATCTGACCTCGCTGATATGAAATTTTATTGACATTCGAGTGGCGCGGAGAATTTAATTAACGAATTGTGATGAAACTTAGTACTTGGGGGTTATCGGGGCCGCTGATCACGAATCCGAGGTCAGATTCGCGAAATTCGTAGATATCGCCACATTTTGACGCATGTGCAGAAGGAAAGTGATTGAGAATTGGTACTCGGGGGTTTTGGGTGTCGCTGATCACGAATACGAGGTAAGATTTTGGCGCCCCCACATGGGGATGCGCACTAGAAAAAGCAATAGAGCTATTACTATTCCGTCTGAAAATCCCTACTCAGGGGTTTTGGCGGTACTTAAAGTACCGAAAGTATTTCAAACTGACACAACTTATTCTAACCCAATGCAATCCAACACAATCATACCTGACCTAACCTTGTCCAGTCTGACCGAACCTAAGCCAACCTATACCAAACTAACCCATTTTTGTTGGGTTAGGTTAGATTGGGTTAGCAGATGTGTGAGTTTGAAGTATTTCAACCCCCAAGTAAGGATTTTCAATCTAAATAGTCTAAGGTATATCAATTTTCAGTGCGCACGCGCAGTACCGTGTCGCCATCTTGGATTTGCAACATTTTGATAAAGAATTCGTGATCCTCACTCAGCTGAGCCAACCTTGCTGACGGTATCTGTGTTCAAAATGATATTTTGAAGTTGCCACAGTTGCTAGTCCCGTATCGCGATTCTTATTCTTGTAAGTGAGGTAGCGGATATCGAGTATAAGTATGATTTTGCACCAGGCATCGAATCCATTGTTCGGCCACGCGCTGCCCTGAATTTATGATAGATTTCGTCACGAGTACGTAAACACCAACATGAACCGCAGTCGAATTTTAAGAAAAGATAGATGTGCTAATCCTTACAATAGAGAGGGCAAAAATTTAAGAGAATTTTCATCTCCTCAAAAAATTACATTCCCGAATTTTCCAGTCGGCAGTATGATTTGTTACAAATGTAGAGATAGGTTTGAGGAAGAACGTAAATTAACTGGAACCAAGGTTTCCGGAATTGATAATAGTATCAGTAGTAGTGAAATTCCAAATACATCAAATCACAGTAATGTTTCTGCAGAAATTTCATTAAATAACAACAATAATATTGCAGAATCAAGTAACTTAGATCCAAGTGGGAATTTTTAATTGATTAATGTTTGATAGTATTATTTTTATTTGTTCTTTGAATTTGTCCTTAAACTCTAAAGAAAATAACTTCGATGACATGATGGAGGTTTAAAAGATAAATTTTCTTCCCTTCATGTACATGACCCTGACAGAATAGCTATTCTTAATGCATTGCCGACAATGTGGTCAATTGATAAGATAGCAAAATAATTTAACACAACTCATTATGCAGTCAGAAAAGTTAAAGATTTGAAAAACAGAACAGTTCTTTCTCAAGACCAGTATCTCATCTGGGTAAACCTCTAGAGGCTCCGA